CAAAAATGTTCGCAAGAAGCGCGAAGCGATTCGACGTCTTAACCGTCGGAACGTCGTCCATCTTGACGTTGGAGATGACTCGCGGAACGGGACGAGGCACGCTCCGAGCCGCGTTGTCGGCCATCTTGTCTACTTGAACATTCGCGTTCGCGATAACCGTATTATTATTATCCAGATTGCTATTCTCGTTGAGAATTCGTTTCACGAAACCCGATCTATTTGAAACGTCCGATTCGGGGATATAATAATTACTAGTATCGTGAAATCCGGCCAATCTTTCGGCAGATACGGGACTCACCGTTCTGTCTTCTGAACCACCGCGTGGGACCGGCGACACCGAACCGCTCCTCCTATGCCCTTGCGATACAGCAGTATCGCTCAAATATCCCCTTTCAGGAGAGGTGGATAATTTGGAAAATTGCACCTCACTAACAAGATGCCCGGAATTCTTTTCAGATTTGTTTAATTGCAGCACTGCTCCCTTGAAGGGCCTTGGAAATCGTGATAGCCAGTTCAGGAAGTCTGGCTCTCCTTGTGGCCATAGGCCGCTTACGACAGCGGCCTGCCCTGATCAATTTCTCGTAAAAATCCCCTGAATCACTCACTGTGTAAAAGGAATATTCACATTATGAGAAAAGAATGTTGAAAACCGTTAAGATTTTAAATTAGATTCGAATGTACGGTGTAGACCGTTAGCACTTTTTTAACTACGTCCTAGCGGGGACACCGAAAGTAAAGAAAACAAAACACGTCCGAACGGCACAAGAGCCACATGGGAAGTGCCCACCCGAGAGCGAGGGAAATGAGAACCAATGAGGCGTCAGCCAACCGGGACTACCCGGGCAGAGACACTCCCACGGACCGAGCGTACCCGAACACAACATGGCGGCAAGCCGCCAGGAGAGCGATAAAACCAACAGAAGACGGAACCGAATACAAAATGGAATCCAAAAAGAGGGGAAGACCACCGAAAGACAACCAGCACCCAATACACCAACCCCGGAGAAACCGGAAACACCCACCCCAAAACAAAGACCACCCCGAACACACTCACACCCAAACACACACCCAGACCACCACACAAACCCCCGACAGACCACCAGCCACGCCGAAAGAACGGATGCAGCGAACCGGCAAAATCCGCGATCACCCCCTGGAAAACGCAAGCAACCAGCCGGGAACACGGCCAGTAATCAGGCAGGAGAGTAATAGACAAGGCCGCAGCCAGAGGAGCGCGGAACGATCCAGTCCCCGACGAAAGAAACGGACCAGGACCACGAGATAAGAGTAAAAAACCGGGGAAGCAGAACAGCCGGCTCGAGAAAGCCAGCCGGAAAAGAGCCCGGACGCCAGCACGGAGACACGGCGCACATGATGCTGTTGTCTTAGTCGGTAGGACGAAAATAAGTCGCGTAGCTCTATCAGAAATATCCACCAGGCCGGCTGTCCTAATGAATGTTTCTTTCCGCGTAATCTGTTCGCCCCGCGGTGTTACCTCGCCTAGCACCGTCATCCTATAAACATCGAGGATGTGTGCCAGTGGGTAGGTCAGATGCAACACTATCCATGTGTCACGACCTACACAATCGGGTTGCCCATTATCTGCGATGGGTATGACCTGTCTGATGTGTCTTGTCTGATGTTCCAAACTTCCTGTCCTTGACCGCCTACTAGTAGATCCCCTCCATTGCGTAACATCGCCTCTAGTACGTCCGCGGTCACGAAGACAAGCCTGATAGTCCCAATCGCCGGTACTGCGAGTAGACATTATCAGCCTGTCAGGCTCCTGTGCGGTGGCCCAAGCATAACCCACTCCTGATGGTTGCACTGATCGTCGCTCACGAAGTTCGTCATATAAGTCCACTTTAACAGCTAGGCTGCGGTAGTCCGCTTTACTACTGTCGATATATGCATCGATACCTGCTGCAAGTAGTGGGGTATTGCTCATGTAACCGTATGTGTATAGGCCTTTGGAGGGGTTAATGACCCCGGGCCAGAGAAAGTCGGGTCCCAGCGAAACGACAATAGATAGTGAAGAGAGGCCCCGGCCGGAACAAATCGGACCGGACGGCCGTAAAGACCGACACTCGAGCCACGCTAAACACGCAGAGGAAATACCGGGCAACGGCAGGGGACCCTAAAAACCGTGCCACGCGCGGCAACCGCCAGGCCGGACGCTCACTTACCATGTCATTAAGAAAAGACAAAAGACGAGCCCCGAAACAACCAGTATGATGACAACCGAAAGACGGACAACAAGCCGCAAACGACCCCAGACACCGACAGACGGCAAGGACGACAAAGAAAGCCCGCTAAACACCCAATTAGTCCTCCCGGGCGACGGGAGACCCCAAAAAACAAAAGGAGGAAAAGAACCGCAACAATTGGAAACCTACACGCGCGAGACCAGCTACGGCGCAACACTACCAACAAAAGCCAGGAACACATCGCGGAAAACCCGACCAAGCACAAGGATCGGACCGGGCCACCAGAAAGACGAAACAATGCAAGGAACAGAACGGGAACAGAACCAACGGGCAAGGACCACGGGAATCGATCAGACCTGAAACTACGAAACGCAATAAAACACAGGAATATGGCGTAATCAACATTTATTTAACAAACCACAAACACAATAAACACAATACCAAAGCACAAATAATAATAAAACGCAACAACGCGAAACTCTGGACAAGTGACGAATAATAAAAACACGCTACGCACACGCAAACCCAGGACCCAACACGCAACTGCACACACATATACAAAACAAAAGCGCGGACACGCAAAACAAACGCCCCCCCTACTCAGACGGTGGTGACGGTGACGGTGACGGTGACGGTGACGGTGACGGTGACGGTGGCGGCCTAACGGAAGGACGCACCCGACAAACGGAGGCCGCAGGTCGCTGCTCCAGGACAGCCCTGTCGCGAGCAAATCCGCCGCCCAACCCTTCCGACCCCGCCGGGGCTAATGTCAGCAACAACTCCAGCTGGAGCATAATCGGGAACCCGCACAACGGCTCCCCCGTCATGACAATCCCGCGTAGCCACGCGAGCAGCATGGGACAGGCCCCATCTAAGACCAGGCCACCCCGGCGATAAGAGAAGCGCAATGGTCGATCCTCCTCACGTCGAACGCGGACCCCTCTCTCGCGTTCGAATACGGACACCATCCGCATACGACGGGCACGGTAGTGCCGAATCTTCGATCGTAACACCCCACAATCCTCCCAGTCCAACTGACGGGCCGGGTAACCGACCGGCACGATCACGGCCCGCACGCCGAACACGGGCCCGAGAACCTGACCGCCATCAGAATCCACAGCCCCCTAGAAGGGAAAACAAAACAAAGCACAACAATTAGAAAGCCCCCGACAGGAACAGGAAGGCACACGCAACAAACGGGACACGCGAAGGAGACCAAACCCCCGGCCCCAACAAAGGCAAGGCCAGGAATTAAAAACTTACCATGGGGTACAGATTGTACAAATCCAACTCCATTAGGACTGCGGCAATAAACAGGAGGCACCAAAAAACCAGAAATAAAAAGGCAAACACAAGAGAAATATCACAGCGAGAACACCGAAAACAGACGAAGCGCAAAAAAGCACGTAGGAACAGAACGGTGGACGATACGAAGCCGAAATGACGCGAAAACTACCACCCGCCGCAAGCTCGACCCTTTACCACACACACAAGCCTGCGCGCAAATCCGAACGCACCCACACAAACACAGACCGACCGACCACCGGACTCGCAAAACGACCGACCGAAAAAATGCAAACCGACCAACCAGAAAGGGGCACAGCCACGACGGAGAGGAGCAGACAAACCGCGGTACAAGCGCGGGAAGAACGAAGCGAGAAACGGGAAACACCCGGCGATAACGAACGCACGACGGAGCAGACCAAAACCCATGAGAAAAGGAAAAACATAACAGGAACAAGCAAGACCACGGAAAATACCCCCTGAGCCACGACGCTCACCCCCGGAAGGAGGGAACAAGAAACAAAGCCAAACACCCGAGACGCAACAGGGAACGCGACACACGGGGAAAACAGACAAACATGCAGACGGACGGTAAAAACAGACACCTTGCACAGGAATGCATCCGAGAAAAAGAAAGGACCCGGACACCCGAGAACTGAAGGGACCGGACGACAGGAAACAGAACGAACGACAAAAAACAGACAAGAACAAACAACAGGGAGAAGGACGGGAACAGAAGCCAGAGACCCGCGGAAAGAGGAACACACAAAACGAAACGGACCCAGAAAACGACCCAGAAACAAGCAAGACAGAAACCACGCCCCGCGATACAGCACGAGAGACGGAAGGAGACAGGGGAAATCCGAACTCAGAGAACGGCTATAAATACGGAGACAACCCGCAAAACCAAAACCGTACTCCCCCGAGACGAACAAGGCAACCAGCAACCATGAGCCCAGAAGACCAGAAAACAAGAAGAATCCCGAACTTTCAAAGAGCATTCGTACCCGAGGACTACCCAGAGACCAAACTGACGCCCGCAGAATGCGGGGACTTCAGGGACGCACTGGCAGCATGTGCCGAACGATACATGGAAGTAAGGATAGCAAAAGGGGCTCAAACTCAACACCTAAGATTTGAGAAATTCCACAAGAGAAACGGGGGCATAATAGTGACATGCAAGACAACATTCACGGCAGACTGGTTGGTGAAAGCAGCAAAGCATATAATAATGCCAAGCGGCGTCAAACTGAGGGTCGACGAAGGGACAACGCCCGATCACAGATTTACAATAGAGGGTAAAGTGACGCACCCTAGATTCAACAAGAACAACGTCGCCAAAGCTATCGAACAATTCAGCAAAGAAATGAACACCACAAACTGGACGGCAATAGGCGAAAGGATGGCCGGAGGAGGAAAGATAATCAAGCTACAGATCGACGGGAGGTCACTGGAAGCAATCAAAAACGAGCAAACAAACTAGCCCTGGACAAACACGCCATCCAGAGGATGTACATTCTAACAGCTAAAGGAACACCCATACTCGCAAACAGCGAAACGAGCGAAATCACAGAAATCCTAGACGAAGACTTTGAAGAGACAACCACGAGAATCAACACCAATCACGACGACAAACCAGGGACACAAGGGACAGAACCACGGCCGGACGAGCAGAAACAGCCGGCAGGGAAGGGAACAACACCCCCGCAAACCACCGAACCCGAACCCGAACCAAGCCCGAAGCCAACTACAAGCGGACCACGGTGTGAAAACAACCGGAACAACACCCCGAAAGAAACCAACACAGGAAACAACCTACCGGACACACAACTCGAAACCCCGGACCGACACCCCGGAACCAGAACGCACCAAAAGCAGAACACAGATCAGAGTCCACATCCTTAGGAAAGCCAGCCAACCACAGTAGAAACACGCGATACCCAAGAGCAAGAAAAAAGAAAAAAAAACCCAACCCAAATTCAAGTTAAAACAAATATTCACAAATTGGCCCAGGTAATAACATCTGGTCCAAGTACGCTCCAACGTCACCCTCAGCACGAAGGCCGCCCTCTTTATTCTCGTTTTGCTGCATGTCTATGATGTTTGCAGCTAAAGCAGTAGTGCAGCCGTGGAGAAAGGCGGAATAAGGTAGTTTCCTCGCCAATCTGTCGTCTACTGCTTGTAGATCTCTAAACGTCCTCTGAACTAGCAGAGGGAATGTTGAGAACTCCAGATTCTGTCCGGTAAGCTGATCGACGCTTATACTACCGGATATTGGTCCGACATTGTACATTAGCCCAACTGGCTCACTGACTTCAGTTTTTGCGGCTAATGACTGTTCTTTGAGCGCTGTTGCCTGCTCAGCTGGAGTAGGGGGCGCCTTCTTCTCCCTCCATGTCTGGGATCGCTGCTTCTGTCTTTCCAGACGTTGGGGTCGTGGTCGCGCGGGATTAGACATCGCTGCGATTCCACGTTTCTCGACCTCAGCTAGGTCGTTCCATGACGCCTCTGGGTCGGCAACCGCACGTTTGGAATTAAACTCAAACATTCTGCGGGCATCTCTATTCGTTCTTGGTTTTCCAAGGGAATTGTTTCTTGTCATCTGACGATTAATGTTGTTCATCCTCATGTACGCATGTAATAAAAACACGAACATGCACAAGTGCACATAAGTAAACGTACTCATTGTTAGATTGTGACCTAACGGGGTCCGGAATTCGAGGAGTAGTTTGAGACAGGGTTTTTAAATAAATACAAATGAATTCCAATTTGGAATTTAAATCACAAGT